GGCTTTTCAGAAGTGGCTGGATCAAGGATGTATAAAAATTGATCAAGGGTGTGTGATAACTAAATTAGTCCACTGATTGGCTTAGCATAGTTCTGGGTGTGGATGACAGGAAGACCCTCCCTAAGTGTGGCTGGCAACATCCAATAGGCTTGTAGCCTGAATGGGATAAAAGGGAAAAGGAGGTTTGCTGTGTTGCTGCTTTCTGCCCGCTCTGCCATGGACTGTCTCCTCTGCCACACTGCTCTACTGTGCTGCCCTGACTTGGAGCCAGTGAACTATGGACTGAAACCTCTACAGACTGTTAGCTAAAATGTACCTCTCTTCCTTTTATCATGGATATCACGGATTTTGTCTCAGCAATGAGGAAGGAACTAACACAATATATGTACCAGCTTCCCACGAGGAATGTAAACATTACATACTATACATATGTACTAATCAACTAAAATATTTTTAAAGTATATTCTTTATATATATACACATTTGTTTCATTGTTACTAGCTTTTCTTTTTTTTTGAAGAGAAACTTTTGTGCTTTTATTTCTTCTTTGTAAGAAAAGTGAAGAGAAATAAGCATTTGGTATTCTTCTTTTATCTTTTAAATGAATGTGCAGGATCACTATTTATGACTTACACTCTGAGTACCATTCTGGCCATCCTTTTAAGATTCTGATACACAGTATATTAACTACTGTTATTTTCTATTATGCTATGAAATTGTTATATTTTTTCATAGGAGAGTGCTTTCTACATTTTCCTTATTAATATTACTAGTATTACATTAAAATAAGCTGTGTAATCTCAGCTTTGATCTTTTCACCCAATAAATATTCACCCATTGCTAGTAACTATTTCTGTCTTCAGTGTTCCTCTACATAGAAGTGTTTCACAAGGACAAGTCACACATATCATATGTTCTGAAGGAAACCTGAAGTGGAGGGAGAAAGCTTATAGAAACCTCTCACCCTGGGGGAGAATGTGCTGAGGGCCTCCGATCATTTACCTATCATGGCCTAAACAGCAGCTGCCTGTTCATTTCTTCACCACTGGTGTATACAGCGACAGCAAACCTTTTAGAGCTTTCAGTGATAACAAACAGCCTGCTGTGGCACGCGGGCCATGAGTCTGCCCGCATTGCTATACACAGCTGTTGGAAGGTGGTGAGTCAATTTGTCCTTCTTGCCGCCATCTGAAAGGTGAATAAACTTCTTTTTGCAGAGTCATTTATACCGAGCTCATACTTTTTAGTCCAAAATCTTTTTCTTGGGGCTGGGGATTTAGCTCAGTGGCACAGCACCTTCCTGGCAAGTGCAAGGTCATGAGTTTGATTCCCAGTACCAGAAAAAAACCAAAACCAAAACAAAACAAAACAAAACAAAAAATCAAAATCTTTTTCTTAACCAGAAACTGTAACTGGGAAAATTAAGCCACGTTGCCTGTCTAAATTTCATCGAGAATCGCAAGCTGAAATCTGCAGGCTGAATTCATCTGAAACTCTTATGACCGGTACTTGGGACCAGATACCATTGTTTTATGTGTAGGAAAATCAGGTCTGTGTTCTGGAATTGATTAAAGACTGTCTTAAGCCATGCAGGAGTATTTGTGCCCTCTTGACCCTTGTCCTGGGAGAGGAGGACCTAACCCTGGGAGATTCCCTTCTGCCCCAGTGGAGAAGGGATGAGAACCGTTGTGGCCACCTAGAGCAGCAGGTTCCTTCCAGGGAGCTCCGCGATCTCACGTCCTCTCATTTTCTCCCTAAATGCTAGCTGAAGACTCTGGTCTGTCTGACCGTTGGATCCCATGGTTTAAAGCTTCGCCAGGTCAATGCCTTGAGCTTCCACTCAACCCTGAGTGTCTGTGCAGCGCAGGGACCGTGGCTTCTCCATAGGTAGGATGCACTGATGGGATCTGTAGAAACACAAATGAACTCTGGGCTTCCTTTTCTCTACCCACTCTTACCCTACTTAGAGTTAAAAACAAACAGCCCTGTCACACTGAAGGGCCACAGCACTTCCTAAAGAATTTCCAATAATGAATAAGTACATTTCTAATTTTAACTAGGAATTAAAAGTAAACATTAGTGTAAAACTGGATCATGGTGGCCAAGAATAGATAGTATCCTGACGTAGACACATCAGAAATACCTTATGTAATATTATAGGACTCAGAATGTTATACATTAGTTTTAGAATTAAGTTCTTAGTATTTTGAATTTAATTGAGGTATCTAAGCCTTAAATCACAAGGGTTGTGCTCAAAAAGTAGTTTCTAGGTCACATTAATTTTTGTGGGGACAGTAATGACCAGAAGGGGGCATGAGGGAGCTGGGAACCTTTGTCTAATTTCTGAGTGTAGCTAACTGTCGATAGGCAATAGCTACATGAAAAACTGATCACGCCGGGTTGCAAGGTATGTAAAGTTTATTATATGTAAATATATGTTTATGGAAAAAAAGCCTCTAAAAACAAAAGACAAGGACTGTAAAAAGGTTTTACATTTTAAAAAACTCATTAACAAGATATCAATTTCAAGAGATAGATTACATAAAGTTACATTGCAAAATTCTCTTTGAAAAAAGCTAATAATGACTTAACTGATGAATTACAAATATATCTATTAGCAATTAAAAACAATACTTAGGAATTTAAGCAGCTTGAGTAGTTAAGCTAGGCAAAGAAAACTCTTGTTTAATATATATTTAATTCCAGTAATATTCTCTTAAATTCCTGTTAAAAATATAATCAGTATTATAGTCAGCAAAATGCCTTTGACTGACGCCTGGATTATTTTACCACTTTAGCTGGTTACACAGTGATTTTTTTTTTCTGTCAGAGGTAACTGACATCAGTTTTGTCTTTAAGATAAATGAAGTGATAACTCCCATTGCAGCATCATGTGGAAAACATTCAAACTACATTTAAAACGCTTTTTTAAATGGAGAAATCTATTGTCCCACCAAGAGTTGTTTCTGTAAAACTACAGGTTGGCTATGGTAATAGTAACTAAACTACATCCAACCCTGAAGGTAGAAAAGTCCCTGAAAAGAAATACACAGCCTAGTTATAAGATGCCATATAAAGGTTATATTCTTACTTTTAAAACATCTCCCAACGTGGAGAAACCCGGATGCTTCCACGGTTCCCTTACTAGGCGGTGCCACATCGTTATTTAGTTAACATTATGATGATCATGGCTTACAATTAAATTCAATATGACAAACACACATAGCAGCCGTGGTTCTGGATGTTGGTAATGACAGTATTTGCAGTTCGATTAAAGAACATGCACTTATGAAATTTGGTACAAAGCTCGAACACTCAGGACAGATTGGCACAATACATGCAGGTAGAGAGTTTTCTCAAGTCAGACATCACCAAATAAGCCACAGTCCTAGTCCTGTTTCCCAAATCTTCCTCCGTATTGTACATGATGTTTCATTCAGATGCTTCTGAAAACATCTTCCAGAGTAAGACCACAAAATAAAATAAAAAACAACACGCTTCGAAAATCCAGGTCATCATCTGAAGGCGTGGTGGAAATGCGGCAGGATGGCGGTGCTGGGGCCGGCCGTGAACACGTGCGGGATGGGGGGCAGGGGGAGCTGGCCCAGGCCCACGGCGCCCACGGCGCCCACGGCCAGGGGCGGCTCCTGCTGCTGCTGCCCCAGGCAGCCCAGCCGATGGGGCAGAGGCTCCGCGGGCCCCAGGCCGAGGGCGCCGCCCCCGAAGGCATTCTGGGCGGCGGGAGGGGGCAGCTGCCAGAAGCTCAGCAGCGAGGAGAGGTCTAGAGAGGCGGGGATGGCCAGGTTCACAGCATCCGCGGGCAGCTCCTTGGCCAGGCTGCCCTTCCCGGGCCCGGCCTTGGCCAGCTCGAAGCCGGGGCCCAGCTTGTGAGGGGACTGAGGCTCTGGCAGCGGCAAGTCTTCGAACAAACTGACATTGCAGAGCCCTTTCGCGTCCGCTTTGAGGGGCAGGCTGGCCAGCGCGGGGAATGAGGTAGAACCGGTGCTGTACTTGTGATTGGGCAGGGGCGCGGGAGGCGGGCTGGGCGCCGCCGCGGGGTGCAGGGCGGCCAGGGGCTCGG